GGCCTGCTGTGTTCATCCAGCTCTACACCTTGTTATCTCAGATTCTCCAGCATTGGCAGTTCCTACTATCTCTGAATAGGCTGGGGCTATTTTCCGTGGAGTACTGTGGGCTGAGGGATGACCTTTAGAGGTTTATAAAATCATGAGGGGCATGAAAATGGTAAATAGACAAGGTCATTTCCCCCAGGAGAGTCCAAGCCTAGAAGGCATAGTTTTAAGGTGACAGAGGAAAGATTTAGCAGGGACCTAAGGGGCAACTTTTTCATGCAACGGCTGGAGCATGTATGGAATGACCTGCCAGAGGAAGTGGTAGAGGCTGGTACAATTGCAACATTTAAAAGGCATCTGGATAGGGATATGAATAGGGAGGGTTTAGAGGGATAAGGGCCAAATGCTGGCAAATGGTACCAGATTTATTTAGGATATCTGGTCGGCATGGATGAGCTGAACTAAAGGGTCTGTCTCCATGCTGATATCTCTATGACTCTATGACTCTTAGAGTGTCAGATTGGCTGGAAGGCATGTTTTCAAACACCTCTGAGAATAAGCTCTTTAGCAGATTGCACCTGTCTTCTGCTTCTACTCAAATATAGCTTAAAAACACAGAACACAAATTCAGCTTCTGCACAGAAGTGCTTCTCTTTTCCTATTTGGAGAGTTTAATTACAACAATACATTTCCATGTGCTTGATGATAATCCAGTCAGTTGAAAAGTGCTCTTTTGGTCACCTGCAGAGAATTGTTATCTGACACTCTACTCACACTACTTGTATGATCTTTTGATCATCTCTGCCCTTGATCTCTCTGCATATAAACTCTGTGTCTGTGTGTTCTGCTATCTCACTGCATCTGACAAAGGGGCTGCACTCTGAAAACTTGTGTGGTTCCAAATAAACCTTTAAACTATAACCTGGCGTTGTATGATTTCTGACTTAGTTTGTGGTCCAAGTGTATGATATTGTTCAGTGGATTGTCAGTCAATAGATACAGAGAGTTGTGATTTCGTTTCACAATCACTCAGCGAGTAACCAAAACAGAATTTCTCATTATTCCAAATAGAATCTAACACATTCTCTTCAATGAAATAATACCCAGGCAATATACTGGGACCTGCAGATAATGGATTACAGATAATATTCTCCAAGCATGGAGACCTTCTTTGTCCTGGAATCTTCTTCATCCTTTCTTGAATTCTAACAGCAAGCACATCTCTGATATCTCACTCAAATGACTTGCTGGTGTGTGAGCGGACTATTTCATGGTGGGAAGCCCTTTTATCTTCCCTTCGTTTGGGTCATTTTTACACTTGTAGAAACCAGTTTCTAATGCCTGACATCTTGCTTATTTTAGTAGCAGGGAGTAAAATTCTGATTAATTCATGTTCTTTTTGGTGGGTGAATTAAATATAAGATTTTGTTAGGCCTGGCCAATCAGGTCCTGCCTGTGTTATTGTTTTGTGCGTCTTAGTAGATTAATAGCTTCATAATGAATGAAGAAAAGGCGAAGGATATCAGTCCAGCTCCTGAAAGTGGATAGTGGGGTCTCTTGTGGTGACGTGATAAAGAGGCCTAGGTTCAGGTCCCACCTAGTGGTGTGTGATAACATCTCTGGATAGGTTGGTTAAGAGGTGGACAGTTGTGGAAAACTGAGCAGCACACTTGGATAGCTCAACTTGTTGAGAAGCCATTTTTAGATTCTGACAGAATGATTTGTAAATATATGACAATTGATCTAAAACATTTCCTGTTATGCACATGATCAACTTCTATACTTTGAATTTAGAAACAAAAAGTGTACATGATCTGAGTGAACAGATTACATTGGAAATCTTATTTAAAAGTATTTATTAGTAACTTTTAGGCTTCATTTCACTTGTTCTAACGTAACAGACCCAAAATTTGCCTATTTGTTTTTGCACTTGGGAATTTACACTCCCAGACAATCTCTCCCACCAGCAGAAATAATGAATAAATAATTGCAGCAAAATCCATATTGAAAGAATACCCTGCCAGAGTAAATAGACAGATTCGTTGACTTGACTCTAGCTCACTGGGAGATCTAATTGGTTACTATCTCATTGCTTAAACTTCCCTAGCAGACAGATAACACAATGTTTAGTGAAAACAAATTAACAAGATTATACCAGGGCTATAAATGCAAATAACTGTAACCAATTGTACATTTTTAGGTAAAAATAAAATTAATGCTAAAGCAGTAATGCTGAAGAAATTTTAAAAAGTTGTTTCAGTTTACTTTATTTTTGCTCAGCTTAGTAACTTTTTACGCTGGTGCCAATAAACAATTTCAGGAAGTATCTGTTCACTTCAAGGTCAAGGATCTCTGGAATATGATCAGGCACAAGACCCTTAAATGATTTATTTTCTCTTCCACGATTCCAGGAATAATAAAACCTGGACTGTTCTAGAACAGAAATCAGCTAAGTTAACAGAGAGCAAAATCTAATCTAGGACCTGATGGTTTAGTATGGTTCAATAATAAAGATGTTGTCTTTGCCCAACTGGCTGTCAAGGGATTTAAAAAAAAATATTTTCTGTTATTTATGAGCTTTCCAAGACCTTTGTATTACGTTAGGAGGTTTGATTGGAACGTGTTGGGCTGAATGATCTGATTGTGTACTGTAAATAGTTTATAATTATTTTTTATGTCAAGTGTTGACAAGCAATGGTAATTAATTGGTGTTTCTAAATATACAACTCTTCAACAGTATATAAATCACTAAGTCAAGTATTTAATATGACAAAGCAAAACTCACAGAATGCTAAGACAAATATTTTAATACATAATAAGACACAAAATAAGTACCAAGAGAACTGTTTAAATTTTGTAGTGAATTGCCAGAAAGCTTGTATACTAGTCAACATATTGCATAATAGATCAATTGTGTAATTCCAATGTGAGGGCTCTTCTGGTGTAGTGATAGTGTCCCTATGCTTGGGTTCAAGCCCCATCTACCCCAGAGTTTTACCATAAAATATTTGAACACGTTGATTAAAAACTTTAAAATTTTCAATTTACTATTTCAAGAAATCAACATGATTCTATGCTTATATATTTTATTTTTCTGTAATATATAATAGAAGATTCAGACCTACAATATTTCTGAGTAATTAGTTATGAAGAATACAAATAGTAAAATATCAGATTGGTTGGTTGCTTTTCTCTCCGTCAATTAAAGTGTGATGTAATGAATTTTCTTTAGTACAAACCAAAAACTAAAATCCATGAGGCCAATTTGGGAGAACAAAAAACTAAACATGAATTCTGAAATTATTTAACACTAGTAATTTTAAAAATTTTGTATTATAATCATAATCACAGTATTTGCCAGTACTACAGGACACCTTGTGGCCCATTACACCTATTCCGACTCTTTGAAAAACTGACCACTTAGGCTCAATTCTCTATTTCCCTATAATTGTATTTTATTATTTTATATTGGTGCTGTGATTATTTCACTGGTACAATCTGAATTGTGAAGTACTGATATAAAAAGCTTTCATGAATAACACAAAATAAGAACTTAATCGTTCCACACCTCTGAATAGGTTATTCGGGCACACACTTGCTGTGTAATAATTCTGTTTTGGGCTTATTTCTCTATTTCTAGCTTCTCCCCATATCATCCAAGTTTGCTATGAAGAATGTGTGTAAAATTTTGACTTATATAAAGATTGACAATTTTTTTGCCTTTTTTGTTATCTTGAAGTGTTTGATATCTGGGTGATCATGCACTCTTAGCACTGTATCCCTGTGCAGTAGAACATGTTGTCTTATCCTTGTGCAGGGCTACTGTTATATCCAAGGGAAGAAGAAAAATTTTAGTTTCATTATATCTGCTTTTATTGGTGTATTGAGGATCACATTCTGCAACTTTACATACTTATAATTAGGCTCACTAATTCAAATTCAGTTTTCTTCTTTGTGTTATGTGAATCGTTTGCTTTAATTCTGTGTGATTTTCTGTGAAAATTGCAATTCAGTGGTTTTCCAGATGCAATAAAAAGATCTATTTAAATATTGAAATCTGACTGACTGAATCCAAACGAAGGAGCACACATGATGTTCATTAATACTAATGACATTGAGTCAGTGTTTTAATAAAGTGTTTGTGTTAGAAATATGTTTTCATAAGACTACAGGAATGCTACTGTGGAGTTGAAATGTTAATGGTTTCTTTTCTTTGATGTGAAGGAAGGAAATGTATACTGTGGCTTGAGGACATGCCCAAAGCTGACCTGCCCATTCCCAATAACTGTTCCTGATTCTTGTTGCCAAGTTTGCAGAGGTAATTAAAAAAATATATATCTTTACATGCTTCTAATCGCACATTTGTCCAAATTTTGCCATCTTGAATGAGTGTCAAGCAGTTTCAGATCAGGTATGACATGTGACAGATGTGGAGTAATGTTCCCCCTACTTTGCTGAAACATTTGATGAACAGAAAATAAGATGTCACTAGTCAAAACTATATCATAAGAATATGACAACATAAGAACTAGGAGCAGGAATTGACCCTTTGTTCTTTCAAGCCTGCTCTACCACCCTCTGACCAAAGAAATTCCTTCTTTTCTTCATAATTTGGAGTACCCTTATTCCCAAACACTGCCACCAATACTAGATGTCCCCTAAAAATGGAAACATCCTCACAGCACCTACCCTGTCAATGTTATTCATGCTATACTTAAAATGAACAGAAAAGGAGAGCTTTCCTTCATCTTCAAAAAGATTTGTCAAACATTTATTTGTGAACAGATTGGATTTGTAGGAAATATTTCTTACTAGTTTATTGGCTAAATATACAAATCTGACAGTTGAGAATTTGCAATAGGCATCATAATGAATTGTTGGTGTCTAAAATATTAATGAATTTTCCATCCAACATTACTTGTTGCTTTTCTTTGTTGAATGCTCTCCTTATGAGGCAGAGTGTTTCCAGAAGAAATGTGGTAACTGGTCGTTTAGTCAAAGATGACAGTATATTCCCCATTTCTGAACATGTGTACATTGTTGACAGGAGAAGGAGACTCGTCATGGGACACATCAGATGCAGAAATATTCCGGCCACCATCCAACAGGGAAGCAGTAAGTAACTGAATACAATTCCTAATATAATGTTGGAGGTGATGTTTCAAAACATTTTGAAATTAAGCAAACTGGCTTTATTTCCTACGAAGCAGTACAAGAACAGACATAAGTCAGACGTACAACTATTTTCCTATTTAAGTATGGCACAGTTTCACCTTCCAAGTCATTTATCTTAATAATTTGACAATCAAGTGTGGTAAGCAGTCTATACAGAATGTCATTGCATGAAATCAACGGCAAATTTGCTATTGATACATTTCTATAGTCTAGTTTTGATATCTCATAGGAAGATTTTTGCACATTGTATCTGTTCTGGATTATTTCATTGACAATGTCTCTTGTTTATTTTATGGTACATTGTGATTTAATTGGTTTAATCCTCATGATAATAATCACCATCAGCATAGCTGCCATTCTTGTTGTCTACATGTGTGAATATCTTGTAACATCTTCCTAGTAACTTAACCTTAGCCCTCTTTGGACTTTTAACAACCCAATCTGCGAACATCTTATTGGGTACAGTTCAGAACAGGTCACATCACCTCCTTCATTCCTCCACTTTACCTTAAAGAGACACTCCCAAGACATGACAATTTTACAAAACAAATATAGACAATAATTCACCATCATTCTACGACAACAAAACATTTTGCTAGCTAATTATACTGTCTATTCATCGATAGCCCAATAGATAAAAGTGTATGCTGTGCAATAACTAATTTCTGTAGCACTCCTCAGGTAAAATCACAGTATTTATTATGAGGAAGCATGAAGTCAATGCTGAGCTGATCAAAGAAGGGGCAAGAATTTTACGGTTGAAGCAATATGGTTGAAGGCAAAGAATGTTCCAAAGATTTTTGAAAGAAAGGCATGAGATGACAGGAATTCAGGAAAGGCCATAGGCACATAGTTCAGAGATCAGTCACCAAGGGCAAAATGAAGGGACTGGGCACAAAGCATGAGAGCAATGAAGGGCACTAACAGTATGAGGAGATGATCAAAATAGGGTAGAACAAGATTGTGAAAGTGAAGATTCAGTATTCAATTAGCTGTGTAGAAAGGACAAGGGGGACATGTGGGACCGTGTTGTAGTGAGGATTCTGCATAATTTTCAATTTATGCAGGGTAGAGTTTGGTTAGAACAATGTTTAAAGGATTAGGGTTTTGCCAGAAGTAAATTGAAATGGCACAAGCAGGCTATGTTACAAAGGTGAAAGAAGCAGTTTTATCAATGGAACTGCAAGCATAAATTCATGTAGTATGTCATGTTTCCATAGCTCCAGATTTACTCTGAGGTTACAGTTAGGGAGGTTAATGAAGTTGAAACTAGAGGTCTAGCAGAATGTGTTTCCAAAGAAAATTGTTTCTTGTTGATTGGTAGAAGACATTTTAATTTATTGTAACCACAAATAACAAGATATAGAAGCAGTTTTGGAGTTGATGCAGAAAGGTAAAGATGGATATTAGCATAAATGTAAACTCTGATCTAGTGATGATCGCACATGATTACATAGTGATGATTACACAAGATATCATTGAAGAATAGAATATAATAATCTTGAAGAGGAGGAATCAACAATGTAGAGATGAAGCAGACCAGAGTTTGTATCCAGGCATAGGAAATAGAATAATGGAGATATTCTGAGATATAAGTGAAATTAAGGGGAAATGGGGTTAAGGAGAAAGGTTTGAGGATGATAGAATGGTTGAAAGTCTCAATTTAAGAATATAAAGAGCAGAGTTGAGGAGGCAAGATAATCACGCACAATAGTTGGTTAGAGAAATTGTTTGGGAGAGACACAGGAAAAGGGGAAACAGAAGAAGATCAAAATCAATAATGTGTGACAGGCAAATTGAAAACGTGTATGGGCTTGAATAATTGTAAGAAGTATGAGAATAAAACTGAGTGCAAATGAAATACATTGACAGTGAATGAACAGGTTAATAATGGATGAAAGATTAACAGATTTTGACGGACAGTGAAAGTAAGTGCAACAAAAACAGAACATTCTGTAATACTCAACAGTTCTGGCAACATCTGTGGGGAGAAGCCGAGTTAAAGGCCCAGATTTTTACAGAGTGTTACAGCCTCCACAGACCTTTAAAAATGTGGGGGTTCCCAAATCTGGAAGGGTCACTTTCATTTCCAATGAATCCATTTGTTCCTGTAAGGAAAAGGCATGACTCCTATGTGAGAGAAACCTGAACTCAGCGGGACCATTTGAATGTGGTGCTGAGTGTAAACAGATCTCATTTTCACTGACATGAGGAGTGTAGGAGGGCAAGGTGATGAGTGGGAGTGCATAAGTTGACATTGGAGTATAGATTTGACATGGAGAGTGAGTGAGTGGAGTATGATGGAGAGTGTGGCATGAGCATTAGAGGGCCAAAAATTTCACCTAACAATTGGGCAGAAGTGCCAAAGAACTAAGACAGTCCTTTGAAACAGTCTGTCTCGGCACTTGGAAGCCCATATGATCTATTTTGATCTGTATCTGAGATGGTAGGCACAGCTCTATACTGCAGACAATTATCCAGGACTAAAGATCCTGTCATTTGGAGGAGTTTCTCCTGAAGCGAGTGCAGTGAGCAGGGACTTGCACTACCTCTCTCAGGGATAAATGTCTGGACCAGCATTTCAGGACAATTACCTATCATCAAAACCTGACCTGAAATGTTAACTCTGTTTGCCCATTCAGGTGCTGCCTGACCTGCTTACCAGAACTGTATTTTGTTCAAATTTCCAACAGCTGCTGTATGTTGCTTTTGTATTGACGGCCCTCTGTATTTTCCCTCAAAATTAAATATACTTCTCTCCATATTTTCTCATGTTGAACCTGGAATTTCTTTGCAACACTTATTATAATCAAAATCTCCAAGTAATATAGAGGAGTACTTGAGCTCCTAACATTTTAAACTTAATAGTACAAACCATATGGAAATAACTGCGTTGTTTCACCTTGATTTTCAATTTTAAACAGAATCAAACATTTGACTCAAAAGTGCAATAGCTGAAACTAATAAACAACAAAAAAGAGAAAAATGGAGACAGCATCTGAACTTAATTCAAGCTGAAGTCAGACAGACTTGCCAGTGCACCAAATTTAGAAGTAATGTAAGAGTTTCTCAAACAGAAACTGTTCAAGCTCAGGTCAAGATTTTATTAAATCAAACATACTTTTGGCAGAATAGTTTGCGAACAAAAAATAAGTCAAAATCTTTCATAAACAATGCTACGCGCACACAAACGTTCTGGTATTACATCCCAGCACAAGTGACTGGGAAAGCACAGCTTTAAACTGATGTTTACAAAATGAACAAATGATATTGAAATAAATTTAAACACTTGAAACTCCAGCTTTCTGGCACATTCTTAGTTTTGCATTGAACACTTTAATGCTAAAAAGGGAAAGATCCAGTGAGTGCACATTTTTTTAACTGAACAAGTTAAGATAATCACCAAGAAATCAAACTTAGATTTAGAATAAATTTTTTTTCCCAAATAGTGTGAGAGTGTGGAACTCACTGTCAGAGGGAGTTGTTATAGTGATTAGTTAAGTTATATTTAAGGGAGCAAAAACAGAAATAACTGCAGAAACTCAGCAAGTCTGGCTGCATCTGTGGGGAGAAAGCCAAGTTAATATTTCAAGTCAGTTGACCCTTCATCAGAATCTAATCAGATCTAATCTAATCAAATCCTAACATGGTGCCATCTTGTGCCAGCCCATAGTTCCACCCTTTCCCCCTTCAGTGACCATTCCAACTTAACAAATAACCACTAGTTCCCAAGGACACAGGAGAAAAAATAAAGTCTTATTATTTCAAGCTCCTTATTGCAGACTAAAGTCTTTTGAGAAAAGCACCGTCACTCATAAATCCACAAATTTTGACAGCAGTTGATGGATTTTCCACTTTTTGACAAGTCAAAACAGTTCTTGACAAGTTTGACAGTTCTTGACAGTTTTTGATACTTCTTGATGTGTCTTGACACTTCTTGACAGGTCATGTCAGGTTTGACAGGTTTTTTTTACAGGTTTGACCATTCCAAGGGGTTTATGCATCATTTGCAACACATTTGCACATACACAAAGTTAACAATCCCAAAGAGTACCTGGGTTGCCTCTCCACAATGTCCAATGAAGAGGTTCAATGTAATCTATGACCATATCTGCAGAGGTACTTCCGCCCAGCAAACAAGGTGCTCTTGCTATCCAAAGCAAAGACATCTGTTTTTACCTGGTCTAAACTCCACGTTCCAATTTCCAGACAGCAGATATTCCAAAATCCAATTTGAGTGCACTCAGCTGATCATTTAAATAGCCAGCTCTCACTGTGATCCATGCATGCATTAACCACAGCCCACCTCCAACCCCACTCCAAATCCCACCCATGAAAATGGGAAATGCCTGATTAGGTGGCTAGACATAGGATTTCCAATGTCTTTCACATTGACCCTACATGTTCTGCTTTCTGTGTAATTGTCAAGAAGCTGACTCTACTGAGCTCCGAAGTGTTTTAGGCAGGCCATTCATTTATTCTGAACTGAAGATGGGCAGTGAATACAAGCCTTGTCAGTAATGTAACAGCCAGAAAGTAAGTTTACTTTTTACGATTTATTGAGGCATATTAGCTGAGATACATAGAACACGTCCTATTTTTGACACAATGGATAGAAATTAGACTTTACTGCACCATTCTATTGAAGTGAAATTCATGTGATGAGAATTAATTTTTAGGACCAATATCTATTTCCAAATTGCTCCTTAAAAAGGTCCGACAGAATATTGAATTGGATCTTTTTGCGGACACCCTGGCGGTCTCCTCAAATGGACATTAAGCTGCTGAAAAATGTAACTGAGGGTCCACCATCTCTTTAGAGCCCTCTTTTGGGAGATTGTCTAACAATGAGTGAGGCAGGAGCAATGCTTGATCTGTTTAAAATTCTCACATGGATGCTAACTTGTTTTAAGAAACATTTAAAAATTGCTGTTGTGAAA